GCAGCAGCAGCAGCAGCAGCAGCAACACGACCAGCAGCAGCAGCAGCAGCAGCAGCAGCAGCAGCAGCAGCAGCAAATGGTGTTTGTGTGCGCAGAACAACACTTTAAACATTCAGCAGTTTAACTACAGCCCTCACCCTTACCACTTGCCAAACTTTATGGACATCTTCACTTGGTCTATTCCCTTCGTCTCCGAAAAAGGTAAACCCTAAACCCTAAACCCTAAACCCTAAACCCTCCAGGGCCTTCCCAGGGCAGGAGCTGCCAGGAGGTTTGGGCAAACCTTAAACCCTTAAATCCAGCTCACAAGCAAGACGCGCAGCGGACAGATGTGTTTACAGAATGGCTCTAGGGTTTAGGGTTTAGGGTTTAGTGTTTAGGGTTTGGGGTTTGGGGTTTGGGGTTTGGGGCGCAGTCACTGAAATGCTGTACGGCATTTTAAACCCTTCACTGGAAGAGGGAGAAGAAGACGAAGAGATCGACAATGTTGAACTGCCTCCGGAGGCAAGCCATTAGGGTTTAGGGTTTAGGGTTTAGGGTTTAGGGTTTAGGGTTTGAGGTTCAGGGTTTGGGGTTTAGGGTTTAGGGCTTAGCAGAGTTTGTCAGGGTTTGGGGTTTATGACTGCGACTTTTGAGGGCTCAGGGTTTGTTTAGGGTTTAGGGTTTAGGGTCTCGGGTTTACCAGGGTTTGTGAAGGTCTACCGGGGTTTAGGGTTTAGGGTTTAGGGTTTAGGGTTTGTGGTGTTTTTCTTTTCAGGTAGTAAAGATAATGCGTGCGAACATCGTGCTCGCGGAAGAGGGAACAGCCCCCAGAAGTCGGCCTCCTAGTAGGGTTTAGGGTTTAGAGTTTAGAGTTTAGGGTTTAGGGTTTAGGGTTTAGGGTTTAGAGTTTAGGGTTTAGGGTTTAGGGTCTAGGGTTTCTCTGGGTTGCGTGAGCGGCTGCGGGCACGAGCGTGGGCGCAGCGCTTATTTACTTCAGAGTTCGGGGTGCCATACACACTGCAAGGGTTTAGGGTCTAGGGACTAGGGTTTAGGGTTTAGGGTTTAGGGACTAGGGTTTAGGGTTTAGGGTTTAGGGTTTGGCTGCAGGCGCTGGCACTCCAATAAGTCGGGAGCGCGCTGAGGCCTTGCGACGCAAAGTGCAGTCGGTGGGGCGGCTAATGAGAGTCTTCAAAACCATCAGGTTTGCTGCTGCTGCTGCTGCTGCTGCTGCTGCTGTGCTGCTGCTGCTGCTGCTGTGCTGCTGCTG